CGGCTGCTCCAGGGGCGGCTGCTGCAGTGACGGCTGCTCTAGGGCGCGGGTTAGGGCAGGGCGCCGCGGCGGGCAAGGGTGACGCCACGCGGGTCCCGCAGGGGCGTCGCGACGCACAGGAGCCGTGCCTCGCGGGTCCCGCAGGGGCGTCGCGACGAGGCGGGGGCGACGCGGCGGGGCCGCGACTGGCGACGGGGCGGGGCCGCGACTGGCAACGGGGCGAGGCCGCGACTGGCGACGGGGCAAGGCCGCGACTGGCGACAGGGCGGGGCCGCTACGGGCAGCGGGGTGGGGCCGCAAAGGGGCCGCGAAGGGAGCCGCGAGGGGGCCGCAAGGGGGCCGTGAAGGGGCCGCGAAGGGGCCGCGAAGGGGCCGTGAAGGGGCCGCGAAGGGGCCGCGAGGGGGCCGCGAAGGGGCCGCGAAGGTGCCGCGAAGGGGCTGTGAAGGGGCCACGAGGGGCCTGAAGGGGCCACGAAGGGCCGTGAGAGGGGCCGTGAGAGGCCGTGAGAGGGGCCGCTACGGGGCCGTAGGGGAGCGCGACGGGCCACTAAGGGCAGGGGACGCGATGGGAGGGTAGGCACACGGGGCGCGACTCGGGCAGGGGCGAAGCGCTCTCCGGGCACGAAAAGAAAAAAAAATAAAAATAAAAATCGATATTCGGTGGGCCCTAGGAAACGTTCCCACGAGGGAACCTGCTCTATACCATGTGAAAGAACGAGGAGTGAATGAACTAGGAAACAGGTGGGTACAAGTAGGAAAACCTAAAAGTGTTGTACCCCATATTGTCCACCCCACTACAGCCTACACAGACTATAGCATATGAGTTTGACACAATCAACGATACCCTCGACATCATGGACTGGACAGCCTTCTCCTCGACCCCTCTGGCACCTGTACTTTTCGTCTGTGTCATCGAGATCTTTCACCGCTACATGTCCCTCTTCCTCCCCGGCTTCGCTCTGTCCCCCGTGCAGCACCGACTCATGGCATGCTACGCCGATCATGTCACTCTCTTCCTCACCTCAGACAGAGAGCTCGGCCTTGCAGTGATACTCTTAGGTGTTTTCGGATCTGTGTATGGGGAGGTCCCCAATTGGAACAAATGCTCCATTATTCCTTTCAATATCCCCCCCACCGACCTCGTGCACGCCGGACCTATTCCAGTCCAAGACCCCAGTGAAGCAGAACGCATCGATAGCCGTCAATCCAAGCGGAGTTGTCAGTCCGCTGACATATTAAACAATGAAAACTTTACTGCGTAGAAATCTCACCAACTCTGCGCTGTGATCTAGAACTGGGCAGTAACTGTGCGCCAGAAGCGACAGTGCTGCGCTTTTGGCGTTTAGTTCCAGTAACAATGTGTGTGTGTGTCCGACAGAGTCATGTGATGCGATGCGACGAATTTGTTGGACAGCATCAGCGGCATCTGTGATGTATTTGGTTCGACACGGTGCTTTGAGGCTCGAAGACGGTACCATATGGTTCCCGGCGCTTTCACAAGGCAGCAGTTTACAGCAACAGCAATTTATGGACACCATTGCCTCACTGGCGAGAGCTGCGTCTGTTGGTGTCAGTCGCGTGGGTTGCATCCCCTGACAGAACAGTGTATTTAGTGGCGGATGGGTACAAACAGTGGCAACAAGGGGAGAATCACGACGCGATAGCATGCACCTGAGAAGCTTTTCCCCACAGAGTGGCATGCACCTGAAAATGGCCGAAACTGGGCAGTGGCCAACCTCAGATGCTTGTCACTTCGATCTTGTTGAGGTGACACAGTGACACATAATTGTTCTGTACAGAAGAAGAAACTGTTACCAACTGTGACTGTGTATTTGTGTGTGATTATGCCAAAACGTTTGAACAACTTCGCCAGAAAACCGTGCTGAGAGGAGTACAAATGTTCCGGGTTAGAGGCTTTCGATGAGAGAGTCTCTTTTCGCCTAGGGCTGGCCCGAATTCTATAGTTCCGTTTTTGGCGGGAAATTTGGCAGCTTGACCGAGTCAGCTCCGCAGCCAATCAGAGGATCCAGATCAAACCAGCCCAACATTCATTGAAAACAATGAAGAAGGGATCATCGATTCGATATTTTAACTTTGAAATTGTAAGTAATTGTTTCTCTTGACCGCGAATACTTCTCAACCCGGTCGCGCTGTCTCCAGCGCGATCGACGATGACATCTCATTTATCTCGCTTACTGGGTAGAATTGTTTTTTTGGGTTACTATTCGACCCCCAAATCATAGTTGCTTTTTTTTTTTACCGATAGTCATGCGACATTGATCAGCGTGGAAAACCGTGCGACTGGAAGTTGAAGCAAGCGCGGTCCGAATCTAAGTAAATGCCAAACTCCAGAAACTAGTAGCAAAACAACAACTCTTCATGCAACTTCCTGAACGGGACTACAAGTATCCCGTTTTGCCTGGGGTTTGAAGGTTTTGCCACATAGAGTGCGTGCTGCGATGTTGATCTGTCACACTATAAACAATGACAACTGTAGTAATCTACAACCTTTTTTTCGTTATTGTTACACCTTCAACATTGGTGGCTTAGATTTGGTTTTTAGGCGCTTATTTTCACGTTCGACACGTAGTCAGGCGTGGAAAGTCCCTTTCCGAGACCTGAAAAAGGTTACGCGTTGTTGACTCGTCAAGAAAAAACACGACTTGTGCCAAATTTGCGAGAACAATGTTAGAATTGAATTCGACCCGCCATGTGCGGAGAATTTAGACAGCCCATGTGCGGAGTAAAATCCAAGTCAGAAAGCAAAATTTCAGAGAGCAAATTTCAGAGCCTAACAATGCACTTGAACAATTAAAGAGGAGGTTACAATAAAGAATGTAATACAAGATTTGTTGATAGACACTCACACAGTCTAAAGGAAACAAGCTGTATCATGATTGAACAAAACCTTTGAGATAATTGTATTAGTTTTGTGATGGGCCAGATTGAACCCTTTCATGTACCGTAGTTTCAGCCCCCACTTAGTCAACTCCCTGCATGCCGACAAACGTCATCTAAATACAGGGTGAGAATCTAACGTACAGAACGTGTACTGGGAACTTTCCACAGGTTGTGAACTGGACCTTTCGAGTGATCGTGATTTGTTACACGGAGTTGTCCTCTCGTTTCTGGTACACCCTCTCTCTCGCCAGACTGACATTGGCCATATTGACGGACCGGCTGTACTGACATCAATGCGTCCAGAATGGTCCCAGAACATACCATAAAAGCACATTTGCCCCACTCAACCGTACTTAAACGCAATGTTTCTTCCATTAAAAGTTGTGTACCGTTACTCTGGAGTCCATTTGCCCGCCGCTACCTGGCGTTCGGTTGCAAGCACCAGATCGCAAGGGGCCAAGCAACAGTACACTAGTACGCACTGTAGCCAGTGCTTCCCATTGTCAGTCTGGCGAGAGAGAGGGTGTAACTCGCCCTACATATCAATCGATATCAAACTAGTAGGGGCACCCTACCACACTCGTCCAGTCTGCCCCCTCATTATATAACCTACACCCTCACCTCAACCTCCAGTCCCCCCCTCTTCCCCACCCCGCCCCCCCTCCCCCCTTCCACCCACCCCACCCCCCTCTTCCCCCTTCTCGAAAACTGCACAAACACATGCGCGAGGAATTCACAGCAAGATTACTCAGGTGGCTCTTGGTCCTGGAGAGGTAGCAAGCAGAAGAGTACCTAAATTAGGATGAGGTCAACTCTGTTCTGGAAGCTCCTTATGCAGGGTGATGGAGCAAAATTTGTGGGAGAGTTGTAAAGCCGCGAAGGATCGTGTTGGTCTGTTGGACCGCCTATGGTCGAATCTGTTTTATTTGTCAGATCTCAGACGCATGAAGTTCAGGACTCGTAAAAACAAAGCACGGTGTAGTGTGTTTGCAGCAGACTTTTGAGGGTTCTTTCTACGTATATCCAGAACTTCTCGGGATAGATATACATCCTTTCTCAAAAGCGATTTTATTTCCGTTATTGGCTCCTTGAAGCAGAGCATCGCGGAAAAGAAATCAAGCTCTTTTGACGATATATTTCAAGCACCCTAAATGGGAAACTCAAAATGAAATGTACTTGCAAGAATCCAAACGAGCACACGCAGCTCATTCGTTCAATGGGGGTACCATGATGGCCGAACTACAGTAACCGAGGGCATCGCCTATGGAGCTTCGTCACCTCGAGCTTCGTTCTCACCCCTAGAGCTTGGTCGCCCCGAAAACTCTCACCTCGAGAGAACTCGTTTTTGAACGCGGAGCCGCTACTTTCCTCTCACCCCCTACTCCGTGTTTGAAAGTCGTGTTCACCTGTTTTGCATAACACCTCTGTCGACTGCTGATGAACTACATGTTGGTTGTCCAAAACGCGTTTTCTTTCATCACAGCTCCTGTCGGATTGTTTCTTGGATATAAAGGTCGTAAAGCTCGCTGCGAACGAGGCGAGATCTTCCGTCCTCATTACTAACGCCGAATACGTGTCGGACAGTTCAGGAGTATGTGACGAATCAGAGGCATTTTTCAGCACAAGAGCATTTTATCCGACGCCACCAAGGTGTGCCGTCTTAGGACGTTCTAAGAGCTGGAGATCCAGGTGCCTCCTCTTGCACATTGCGAATGACGAGCCGTCGTAAATCTGCGACCTCATCCTTCCACCAGCATCCCAGCAATACCTCAATTCCTCAATATCTCAGCACCACGATTCCGCTCGTAGAATCATATCCCTCCTGCAAGTCTAGGATCTCCAAAGCAGCATCCCAGCCGTGGCTGGGGGATTTGGTCGAATCGCCTGACACCCCGCTTGATCCGCTGGTAGCGACGGGATCTCAAGAGAATCTTTGTGCCTTGGCCGACCCTACCATTACCCCTACGTTCGACTCTGAAAAACGTTTACGGGCCGTTTCGTCAGACGATAGCTCTTCAATGCCGTCGCGGCGCGCCGGTGCTGTCTTAGGTGCGAATGCAGATGTATGGCGGCCTCCGCAAAGGCCGCCGCATCATGCGATGGATTTCGTTCCCGATCATCCCGGGCCTCGAGGGAATGGCACCCAACGAGGCCATTCTTCGAGTGTGCAGCCGCATTCGCACCAAAACAGCTTTGACCAGTACGGCGGAAACGGCGGGATCGGCGGGATCGGAGGAATGGGCGAGGGCGACGGGATTGGCTTAAGCGGCAGATACCGAGCAGCAGTACCGCCCCAGAATCTTCCCCCAGATTTGGACCCGTGGGAAATGGCGAACGCTTGCGACCTTTGGGCGGAAACTTACGAGGGGCCGATTCCCGGGACCGGCGCGCCGGGGCCTGATGTGTCCCGTTTCGGCACAACCGGCGACGGAACTGCGTGGGCGATTCCAGTCGGCGACGACGACTATTACGACGACGGCGCGTCGTCACTCCCTCCGTTCCCCGCGGAAGAGCGGTACGAGGAGGCGATTTACGAGTCGACTCAAGAATCGGCGTCACTGCCTCCGCTCATTGCGGGAGCGGGAGCGCCGTACCAGGGCCTCGGCGCGCTGAACCGCTCCGCGACGACATCCGACCTCGCGACTCCCGCGAGACGCGGCGGTGGATATTTTGAACCCGAGCCGACGAACTTAGCGGCGGGAAGAGCTGAGATGACCACCCGCAAGGGCAGGCGATCATTCGACGCGCGCCTCGACTACGATTCTAGAGACGACGACGCGTTGACGTCGCGCATCGGCGGCGGCGTGTCAGGCGCTCACGTAGCGGGAGCGGCTTTTCGCGACGTGGCGGATGGGGCCTTTGTCGCAGAGGGAGCATCGCAGCAGTGGGACGGCGTCGCAGATGTCGCAGATCATGTCGCCATGCAGGATGCGGCGGGCAGCCGCTGGGATGCGATGATGGCCGAAGGAGGGGAGGATGAGGAGGAATGCGAGGAGGAATGCGAGGAGGAAGAGGAGGGGGAAGAAGAGGAGGAAGAGGAGTGGGACGAAGAAGAGGAGGGCGAAGCTGAGGGCCACGAGGAGGCGGGAGAGGAAGAGGACGAGGCCGATCTGTGCTTGAATCGAGCCAAGACCCTCCCGCTGCTTCACGTTTCGCGCACTGCGTCGTCGGAAAAGTCGGCGGAGCGAGGCTTGCCGGGGACGACGATGGGCGCTGGCAATACGGCTGGCGACGAGGGAGACAACGACGATGACCTATATCCTGGTGAGTTACTAACGCGTACGAATTCCTGGTTGTCCCCAGTGATGAGTGAGCGACTTTCTCTTTGGCGATGGAAACTGGATGTTGGCGTCTTTAGAATATTAGTTCTGTAGCAAAGGAAGGTTTGTCTCAAGGTAGCTCCAACCAAGTCATAACCCATCCATTCCATCCTCGTTACAAGGGAGATGCAAACACAAGCAAGACAAACAACCAGACCTCAATTCTACCCATCCATTCCATCCTCAGTCTCTTGCCGTTCCTGCGGATTGGTTTCTCCCATACCTCTCCGTCACGGCGCCACACCTCATCTTTCCGAACCTCGTCGGCCCGATCCCGGACCTCACCATGCCGAACCTCACCATGCCGCACCACCCCCGCCCCTTCCCCACGCCGCAGAGCTACGCGCGTGCCACACAGCGCGTGGCCGCCTCCAGCAGCAAATGGCGCCTCCGCCTTACGCGCGCGGCGCTGAGTCAGCGGGGTTCGTTGAGCATCACCACGGGCATCATGGGGATCCTCGTTATAAGGAGCATCGCTACAGTCCGCAGGCTCAGGTTGGTGGTCAGGTTCAGGCCCAGGGTGAGAATATGTTTCGTCAGGAGCAGCTATGGGAACAGCATCATCAGCAGCAATCGTGGCACCAGCAGCAACAGCAGCAGCAGAAGCAGCAGCAGCAGCAGCAGCAGCACCAGCAGCAGCAGCATCATCACCACCAGCAGCATCATCAGCCGCAGCAGCAGCGCAGCCAAAGCCATCGCCGCACGTTTTCCGACGTTTCTGACGTCATCATGACGTCCGGCCACGTGGCAGCGAGCCCGTGCGACCTGCAAAGGTCCCCCCTTCCGCCGCCCCATCACAAAGCTCACACACACGCTGCTGCTGCTGCTGCCGCTGCCGCTGCTGCAAACTATGGTGCGGAGAGGAGTCCGAACGGCCGATTCACAGGGGCTGTAGCGGGTGGGGGAATAGCAGGCGCGGATGTAGCAGAGTGGGTACCGCCGCCCCCAGGAGCGCCCCCCCCTCAGCTGTCACCTGGGTGCCAGCGTCCAGGGGCGGATGTAGCGGCCTGGATATCACCTTCCCCAGTTGGCACCGGGAAGCAACGCGTGCACCGCCGCACAGTCTCTGACCTCTCTGATGTGATGCCGGCTGGGGTTGCTGGCGCTGACATGGCTGTAGCGGCTGCTATAGCCAGCGGGAACGCTGCGGCAGGTGTTGGGCCGGCTGGGCGTGCTGTTGCTACAGCCGGATACGGCAATTCTGACAGCTATCGTGGGGCCGGGGTGAACGTGCCGTGTAGCAGAAGCAGCAGCGGCGGCAGTGCTGTGCCTGTGATGGTGTATTCAGGGGCGAACAGGGTAGGGGAGGGGGCGAACAGAGGAGGGGAGAGTCGAAGATGCATGGAGGGAGTGGGTGCCAGGCCGAATGTGGCATCAGGCTCTGCTTCTGCTACTGCTACTGCTCGTGTTGGCTCTTTTACCCCAAAGCACCAACAGCTGCTGCTGCAGCAGCAGCAGCAGCAGCAGCAGCAGCAACCGCCATTGTCAGTGCCACCCCTACACCAGCAAGGCAGCAGACGGAACGTGCCGAATTTCGCCCCTCAGAAGAGCTTCGGCAACGCTGCTGCCGTTGGGTCTAAACCAATGCTGGGGCAGCCTCAACTGAGTATGGACAGGGGAAAGGGGAAGGGGCGCGGAGCAGGAGGGGCAGGGCCAGCAGGAGACGCAGCAACAGCAGCAACGGCGGCAACTGCTGTCGCAGACGGAAGCAGTATAGCGAATGGAGGCGGGAGGGGAAGCCTAGGCGCATCTGGGCGTAAGGTTGGGGCCAATAAGCGGCTCAACTCCCTTGCTTCCGTCGCCAAGGCGCTTGGGGCGTTTGAGAAGCAGACTGAGAGGTGGAAGGAGCAGCAGGCGCTGCTAAAAGCGCAGGAGGAGGAGGAGGAGGAGAAGGAAGGAGAGGGAGCGGAAGCTGGAGGAGGGACAGGGAAGCGGGAAGGGGAAGGCGGAGATGGGGGGTCAGGGGGAAGTGGAGCTGCGCCTAAGACCCCGAAAGGTGCTTCGTTGGGTAGGATATTCACCATGAACCGCTCTGCACCGAGTGGTGGTGGTGGTACCAGTAACAGCAATAGCAGCAGCAATGCCGCCAGCACCGGCAGCAGCAACAGCAAAGGCGCCAGCGGCAGCAATGCTGTCCCTCCGAGAACGCCCAAGGCTCCAACCTTTGTGAAAGGCTCTCCTGCTTATTCCCCCTGGGTGCCCGCAGCCGCTGCCGCTGCTGCTGCTGCTGCCGCCGCTGCCACTGCTGGTGCTTCAGGCGCTGGCGTTGCTTCTGCTCCCGATGCTGGTGCTTCTGCTGGTGCTGGCGCTGGTGCTGCGTTTCCAGCGCGCGCGAACACGTTTTCCAGAGCAGCAACTACGGGGCTTGTTCCGCCCAAAACGCCCACCGCATCGCAGCCGTTGAAAGGCCTCGCAGCACAGTCGTTCAAAGCATCTCAGCCGTCCAAAGGGCCACAGCAGCAGCCCAAGACACCAACAGTCCAACGAAGCTCCACAGGAGCGTGGGGGGGGAAAGGGGCAGGAGGAGCAGGAGCAGCAGGAATAGGGGCAGGAGGAGCAGGAGGAGGAATAGCAGGAGCGTTTGGAGTGGGAGGGAAAGAACCAGGAGGATCAGGGAGAATGGCACCCTTAAACCTACCACCACTGGTGTTACAGGAAGAACCCCAGCTGCACCTAGTGCCGCCTGGCAGGAAAGCAGGCGCTGCAGCAACAACCGGACCCTCTGTGAGAGGCACCAGGACTCCTGGGGGGAGGCTGCAGCGGCAGATGAGTGACGATGAGGAGGAGGAGGGGGACGGGGAGAGGGGGAATGGGAGAGGAGCGGGGGAGGGTGATTTGGGAAGGTCGGGCTTAGGTGTTGGTAAGCGGGCGGGTGTGACGGCCCCTATGACTCCTAAAGGAAGGCTGCAGCGGCAGATGGATGAGGAGGAGGACGATGGGGAGGGTGTGAGGCTGAAGGCAGGTAAGAAAGGAGGAAGGTTGCAGCGGCAGATGGAGGAGGATGAGGAGGAGGAAGGGGAGGGTGTAAAGGCGAAGGCGGGTAAAAAAGGAGGGAGGCTGCAGAGGAGGATGGATGAGGAGGAGGATGAGGAGGAGGGTGTAAGAGCAAAGGCGGGTAACAAGGTAGGTGTTGATGCTAGCGTGTCAGTGCCTGTTGCTCCTGCTAAGGGAGGCAAGAAAGGAGGAAAGCTGCAGAGGAGCTTAGACGAGGACAGTGAGGAAGAGAAGGAGGAGGGTGCGAGGAAACGGGAGGGGAGGCGCGTGCATGGGAAAGAGGAGAAGGGCAAAGAGGAGCGGAAGGCAGGTTCGGGCTCTGCTTCGGGAAAAGCAGGTTCAGCTAGTGCTTCGGGAAAAGCAGGTTCGCCCATGGCTGAGGGAAAAGAAGTTTCAGCTGTTAGTGCAGGCAGGCAAGGGAGCAAGAGGGAGGGGGGGAGGCTGGAGAGAAAGATGGAGGAGGAGGATGATGTGAATAGAGGGCGAGGGGATGAGGGCGAGATGGGGGAGACGGATGGCGGCAGGAGCGGGGTTGAGTGCGGTGGGGGTGAATGCAGTGCGCGAGAGGAGGGGGAGGAGGAGGAGGGGGGAGGGAATGAGGGGCAAATTGCTGGTGAGGGAAGGAAGGGGAGGATTGCTGGGTCTTACGAGGGGGATAGGCGTGAGGGTAAGGCTTCAGGAAGGCTGCAGAGGAAGATGGATGATGATGGTGATGATGGTGGTTGCGATGAGGAAAAGGAACGCTCTGAGTTGGCTCAAAAGGGTGACAGGCGTGAGGGTAGGGCTTCAGGGAGGCTGCAGAGGAGGATAGATGATGATGAGAGTGATGAGGAGAAAGGGGTGAGTGGATCGAGAAGGGTGGGTGGTAAGCCGAGGAGCCAGGCTAGCACTCCCAAGGGAGGGAAGAGGGCCGGGAAGAGTCAGTCCTATGTTGAGACTTCTCCATTGTCTCAGAATTCACCGTCTCAAAACGCCAAAGGAGGGCCGGATGGCCCGTTTAAACGGGTCGGATCGTTGGGCGCTTTGGGTGGGGATGAGAGGGGAAATCCTGAGAGTGAGGGGCAGGGAGAGAGGGAGGGGGAGAGGTTGAGGAGAAAGAAAGGGAGCGGGGATATGGACCGGGAAAGGTGGTCGAAATGGAGTGGGGATATGGAGAGGGATCGGAGGTCTAAGGGGAGTAAGGGGAGTGGAGATTTCGAGAGGGATGGCAGGAGGTCCAAGGAGCAGGAGGAGCAGCAGGCAAAGGAGGAAGAGGAAGGGGAGGGGAACGAGGAGAAGGAGGAGGAAAGTGACAAGGTGAAGGGGAAGGAGACGACGGAGAGGGGGGAGCAGGAGGAGGAGAAGAAGGGAGTAAAAGAGGAGAAGGAGAGTCCAAAGGAGAGGCGCAAGGTGAGTAAACTGCTGCGAAGGCTGGAGGATGATGAGACAGATGAGGAGGAGGTGTGTGTGAAGGAAAGTGCGAAGGAGAGTGAGAAGGAGCGTGAGAAGGAGGGTGAGAAGGAGCGTGAGAAGGAGCGTGCAAAGCATAGGAAGGTGGGCTCTCAGGGAGAGGATGTGAGGAGGATCGGTTCAGATGTGAGAAGGATCGGTTCAGATGAGACAGACGCGAGTAGGATAGGAGGGAGTGGGAGAAGAGGGAGTGGGAGGAAGGCAGGTGCAGCAGGGAGTGGTTCTGCTAGAAAGGAGGTTGGGAGCAATCGGAAAAGTAGGTTGGGGGAGGTGGGGAGGGAGGACGGCAGGAAGACGGAGGATGAGGGGGAGAGGGAGGGGGAGAAGAAGAGGAGAGGAAAGGAGGATAAGGCAAGAGAGAAGAAGGAGAAGGACGGGGGGAAGAAGGGTGGGAGCAAAGGCAGTGGGAGGAGGGAGAAGGGCGAGATTCCTCTGAAGGCCACACGTTTGTTTGCAGATACTAACACCGATTGGAATGCGGGTCCTTCCTCTGCTGCTACTTCCGATGGGCTGCCTTGCAAGTCTCCTAGAAGCATTCGCGAGGGCTCTTTCTTTGGCAGCCTGAGCAGCTTCCGATTCGCGCCTGACGTTCGCTCGCTCTGGTCTCGAACCAAGACGATGAATGAGCGCGATGGGGAGGAGCGGAAGAGGAAGGAGGAGAAGCGGCGGAAGGAGGAGGGGGGAGGAGAGGAGGAGGAGGAAGGGGGGAAGGGGAGGGAGGGAGGGGAGATGGGCCGGTCTTGGTCCCGGACTAGGACGATAAATGAGGGTGATGAGGAGGCGAGGAAGAGGGAGGAGAGGAGGCGGAGGAAGGGGAGTAATGGGGGAGACGAGGAGCAGGAGGGGAGAGAGGGTGGGGAGTTTGAGCGGTCTTGGTCTCGAACCAAGACCATGAATGAGGGAGATGGGGAGGCGAGGAAGAGGGAGGAGAGGAGGAGGAAAGACAGCGCGGGAGAGGAGGAACTGGAGGGGGGAAAGGGGAGGGAGGGAGGGGAGATGGGGCGGTCTTGGTCCCGAACTAGGACGATGAATGAGGGGGGTGGGGAGGCGAGGAAGAGGGAGGAGAGGAGGCGGAGGAAGGGGAGTGGAAGTGGAGAGGAGGGGAGTGGCATCGGTGCTTCTGGGATGGATGAAGTTGGTGTGAACGAGGGCGGGAACGGCAGCACTGAGGGGCGGTTTAAGGCAAAGGAGGAGGGTGGGTCAAGGCGTGCGGGTAAGGACGGGAAAGGTGAGCGAACGCTCTTAATTGACACAGGCAGTGATAGCGAGGAGCAGGAGGATGGGAGGGATGCGCAGGCAGAAGGGGAGGAAGGAGGCAAGGAGGGTGAGAAGGAGCAGGGGCAGCAGGGAAAGCTGTTCAAGGTAGAGGAGGAGAAGCGATTGCTGCAGCTGCAGCTGCAACAGCTGGAGGAGCAGCAGAGGCAGCTAGAGGCCGAGGTGGAGCGGCAGAGACAGCTGCTGGGATTGAGCAGTGGGGTGGTTGACAGTTAGAGATGAAACAGGCTAAGAAGCAACAGCTAGAGTGGATGGAGGAAGAGGGTCAGATGGACACTGCAGCTGCAACAGCTGGGGGAGCAGCGGAGGCAGCGAGAGGCAAAGAGGCGACAAGAGTGATGGTGGGGTGGGGATGCTTTCTAAAATATATGGGCCAATTACATCTGTCCGCGTTGGATTATCATAATTTCTTTTTGGGGTTGTTTTTGAGTGCTAAGCACTTTGCTGCGGCGTCTCTGAATCTTGTTTTCTTTTTTTCCTCTGCCAGAGATATTTATATATACTGTTTCTCTACTGTAATATTAAATTCCTTCATAATTAAAGTTCTGTACGATAATTATGCGTCACTTCGTACTTGAATCCACTTCCGGGGCTGTATCGTACAACGAAGCACACTAGATTCCACGCCACGTCTGATTGACACCTTGAAACTACCATTTTTCGATTCTGGCGCCACAGCAACCGAATTCCACACCGCATTACCACTTGCTAGTTACCTTCTGATTGAGTTGCTGACGGTGAATCCTAACTACGCTTACTGTAAGGAAAATTCCTTTTCCTTACTTCGCATCCCTGCTCAACGCGTATATCACTGTAGCACCACAGTCAGCACCGTTACCACTCGCAACCCTCGCATCGACAATCCGCCCGCCACCTTCGCACATCACACCCCGACCTCACGGCCTGGCGGGTAACCCGCGCTCCGGGCCTCCGCTTTGACACTTTTCCCAACCTCAGTCCTAGGCCCGTCACGCGACAACCACAGTCCATTACCGTTACCACTGTAGTTTCGCTATATATTCTTCGCTCATGCCTCCGCTCATTGTACTCTTGCTTCGATAGTGCAATTCTCGTTCGTTCACTCAATTGGACTCGTAACACTTGGTATCAGAGCCTACGATCTCCTGTCGGACCGCACCCACACCTTCGCTTCCCCACTATCTCAATTTTTCGGGGGGGTAGACGTCTCTCAGCGACACAGCACCGCCGCTCGTAGTGCTCTCTCGTAAGCACGGACGGCCACGACCGAGGCTCTCGCTGAGCTCGGCCGACACCCCCGCCATGGCCGAATTCACGCTCGCCACATCGACGCAGGAGCAGCTCGACTGTCTGGTGCGCCAACTTGAAGATTCGGCGCTCGAAATTGCGACGCTCACGGCGGAACGTGACTCCGCGCGTCAGCAATCAACGATGAACATTCCAGCGCCACCACACACACCGACAAATGCATCTGCACAATCAGACGAGCCGATCGTCATCTCGTCCGGCACACCGACACAAAACAACAGCGTGGGACAACGCTCAGGCGCAGCCAGCGATGGAGCCGCCCAGCCGATGCCTGGCATGGGAGGAAACAGGGTCGCACCAAGCCCGCGGGAGCCTCGCGAAGCCCGGTGGCACGTGGAGTTCGCGGCGACAAGTGGCGAACAGGCCATTATGGCACCAATGCCACTCAAGCCGCAACGCCCGCCCTGCTTCGACCCGAGCTAGCGTGGAGGTCCGACGGTTCAATCGTGGGTCTTCACGATGAACATCTTCTTCGACGCGAATTACGTCGAGTCGGACGCAACGAAGATTCGGTATGCCGTTTCGCTGCTAAGGGGCCCCGCCATGGACTGGTGCCGAGTCATCGTGACGTCGCCACGCGCCTACGAGCCACCGTCGCGAGAGGAAGGGCCCACGGGCCCAGCTGTCACATGGAGTTCATTCTGCGAGACCGCCCAATACACCACGTGGGATGTGTGGTGCGCAGGGCTTCGGGCGCGCTTCAAGCCGATCGCGGCTTCTATTTCGGCGCGTTAGAGATTGCGCACTTGGCGGCAGCTTGGATCGGTTCAAGACTATACGAGTGGTTTTCTCGCATTATGCGAGCAAGTCGGCTACATGCACGAAGCGGAGTGGGTGGACCGTTACGTCGGAGGGCTGAAGCCAGACATCTCGCACGAAATCATGCTACGCGGGCTCTCGAACTTCAACGAGATTCTCGCGCTCGCCGAGAAAATCGACATTTTACGCCGTCCGAGACCGGGGTCCTACTATGGACATCGTCCTCGGGGACCGATCGAGCACGCCACTATACACGTTGTTGCGACGAATGTAGCTGCCGTGCCGTTAAAGGGGCGCTGCTTTGCTTGCAACAGGCCGGGCCATCGCAAGAGCGAATGCCCAGAGGAGCTAAGGCGCCGCGCAGCAGAGCAGGGGAGGGAGTCTCCAAGGCAGGGAAACGCTAGCAGTCAGTAGGAACCGGGCCAACTACTGACGAGACTGCCTGCTAACCCCACCGACCCTCACCGAGTCACAGTACCGATTCATGCTATCGATCGGACTCGGACCAATAAGGAGGGTACAGGGACGGATTGCCCAGTACTGATCCACGGAAAAATACAGGGAGCAGCAGTGAAGTTTTTTATCAACGGAGGAGCAAGCCACAGTTTAGTTAATACCGCAACCGCACGAAAAATGCAGCTGACACTTAGCCGTTGCTTACTAGAGATAGACGCACGCTTAGTCGACGGCACGCCACTGGCCATACGGGAAAAGGTAGAGAGAGTCAAAGTCCGCTGCGGGGGAAATTTCGGGTTTACATAGGAAATGCTCGCAACGACACTGGAAGGGCACGATATTTTACTGGGACGTGATTGGCTGCGACGGTATAACCCGCGAATTGACTGGACGACGGGTAGCTGCACCGTGCGAAGAAGTGGTAACTGGGTCGAGTTACCTCGCTGGCAGTCGCCCGAGTCTTCAACGGTACACGTCAACGCCATCACAATGAAACGGGCTGTCGCTGCTAGAGCTGACGTGTACGCAGTAGACATCGCAGTAGTAGAGGAAGTAGAGCAGCTGAGTGATTTCAAGAAACTGCTGGCAGCCGTACCGCCCGAATTACAGGAACTGTTGAAACGATACCCCGGGATTTTCCCCGACGACTTACCGGAAGGACTGCCATCTCAGCGAGCACATGACCACCGAATCGAATTAGAACCGGGAGCACAGCCAACCGTACAGCGCCAGTTCATACTGACACAGCCCGAGCTCGACGAACTAAGGAAGCAGTTAGATTACCTGTTAGAGAAAAAATTCATCAGACCGAGCTCGTCACCGTTCGCGGCACCGATACTATTCACGCCGAAAAAAGACGGGGGATTTCGCATGTGTATCGACTACTGAGCACTGAACAGGGTAACAGTCAAGTCGCGGTACCCCATTCCTCGCGCCGACGAACTGATCGACCAACTGCGAACAGCACGGGTTTTTTTCGAAAATAGATTTACGGGGAGGTTACCATCAGATTAGGGTCGAACCATCGGACTGCGCCAAAACAGCTTTCAGGATTAGGTACGGGTCGTTCGAGTACACTGTGATGCCATTCGGGCTGACCAACGCACCGGCGACTTTTCAGATGACCATGAATGAGGCATTTAGGCCGCTCTGAGATAAATGTGTAATAATTTACCTCGACGACATCCTAGTGTACAGTCACGATAAGCAGCAGCACTTAGCAGATGTGGAAGCAGTGTTTAAGGTTTTGGACGAGCACAGATTACCGACCAAGGGTTCCAAGTGCGAGTTCTTCCAGGATAGGTTAGAATTTTTGGGGCACGTTATTTCGGAGGCTGGAGTTGAAATCGACCCAAAGAAGCTAGATACGGTAAAAGCGTGGCATCCCCCGACGAACATCACGGAGCTGCAGAGCTTTTTAGGGTTCGTTAATTATGTGCGTCGGTTCGTCCCCGATATGGCACGGTTAACTGCCCCACTGACAGATTTACTGCGGAAGGGGGTCGCTTTTACGTGGGGGGAGAAAGAGCATGCTGCCTTCTCTGCCCTGAAAAATGTTCTCTGTTCACCGCCCGTCCTGCGCATCGCCGACCCACACCGCCCATTCGAAGTAGTTACCGACGCAAGCGATATCGCCATCGGAGCCGTACTGCTACAGGATTCCGGCAATGGCCTACAGCCTAACGCATACGAGTCACGAAAACTACATCCGCCCGAGAAAAATTACCCAATACACGACCGCGAAATGCTTGCGATCGTGCACGCGTTCAAAGTATGGCGCTGTTACTTGACTGGCGCGGACGTGACAGTACGGACAGACCATAAATCACTACAGTACCTTCGCGCACAGCCACACCTCAACCCACGACAGATTCGCTGGCTCGATTTCCTCGAGTCCAACTTTCACTACACGGTCACTTACAAAAAGGGAGCCTCGAACATTGCCGACGCACTGACCCGCCCCACTGCCTGTCAAACTCATATGCTATAGTCTGTGTAGGCTGTAGTGGGGTAGACAATATGGGGTACAACTCTTTTAGGTTTTCCTACTTGTATCCACCTACTTGCTAGTTCATTCATTCCTCGTTCTCTCACATGGTATAGAGGTGGTTCACTCCTGGGACTGTTTCTTCCTAGGGCCCACCACTTCGCTAAACTGTTTCTGCCCTGCCCTTAGCGAGTTTCGCGCTCTGCCCTGCTGCCCGTCGCGGCCCTTCGTGGCCCCTTCGTGGCCCCTTCGTGGCCCCTTCGTGGCCCCTTCGCGGCCCCGTCACGGCCTCGCCCCGGCCCTGCCCTGTCGCCCGGCCCTGCCCTGTCGCCCGGCCCTGCCCCGTCGCCCTGTCGTGGCCCCCCGTCGCGGCCCTTCTATCGCGGCCCCCCGCCGCCGCTCTTCCTTGCGCCAGGTCCCTCCCCGGTAGACCCCCTCCCCCCTCAGGGTCCTGCCCCGTCAGGTGTGTCCCAGGTAGACGCAGTCGAGCCTGTCGAGGTAGCTGTTGACTCTGGTGCTGCTAGGGGTGCTGAGCCTGGGGGTGCTGAGTCTGGGGGTGCTGAGCCTGGGGGTGCGGAGCCTGGGGGTGCTGAGCCTGGGGGTACGGAGTCCGGGGGTGCGGAGCCTGGGGGTGCTGGGTCTGCTCGTGTGGCCTCTGGCGGTGCTTCATCGAGGCGGGAGCTACTCTCTCCGCAAGAGCTACGCGAGTGGCTTGCCCGGCGCTGGA